ACAGATATAATTTCAACTTGCCCACGGGTTGAGCCTTCTTGGTAATCTGGATTTTTATCCCCTCGCTGCCGTTGTCGATGCGGCAACCGCTGCAATGCAATTTATCATCATCCGTGGATCGCATGTCCAACCAAAGCGCGTACTTGGCGGTCAGGTATTCACCGATCTGCACAGAGGATAGGTCCAGGTCCTTGATCACATGTTGGTGCCGGGTCGGTAGTTTTGTTATCTCATCCCACTGCTGGTGTGCCCTCATACCGGCGCTGAACAGCTGGTTGGGCACGCCCTAGATGGTCACTTCCACCTTTTCAATTGGTTGAAAAACTTCTCGCTGTCCCTTCGGAACGGCGCATAATCCTCCACGGGGACGATCAGGATGCCTTTCATCGATCGCGCCAGCACGTTTAGGTTGATATTCCACAGCATGTCGCTCTTATCCCGTACGATTGCTCTATGCCTCAGAATGCGGTCGTACAGGATGGCCACCTTCCCCAAGTACTGGTTTCGAACCTGCCTTGCCAGCTCCGGGCTAGTGACCATGTCGGACTCCAGAGAGCTGTTGTCTATGGTGTAACTGGCGTCACCGTTCGACGTACGCACGACTTTGCTGTAGTCTTTAAATGTGAGCTCGTATTCAAGCCTATCTCCCAGCGCGGCCTGGTAAAATGACGCGTGTCCCGTGAGCAACTCGAAGTCGAGCGGCATGCAGAACCTGTTCCCGTACGCTTGGGCTATGGCCTTTTCACCGTCTGAGATCTTACCTAGCTGGTCTTGCGTGAAGCCATACCCCACGCGCAACCGAGTCGATTTGCTGATACCTTGGTACACGTCATTGACACGTTCTCCCTCGCTTTTCCAGAGGTCCCCGTAGCAGTGAAATACGTCGCTGTCGTCGATGCTCAGCACCTCGTTACCGCTGATCTTGATAGTGGTTTTCTTGATGATGGCTCGGCCTATGTTCCGCCAGCTCGCGTTTGTCGTTGTCGGACGTCAACGTGAGGTTGAACGTCAGTCGAACCGTGCCTGGTACAATGAGCTCATTCTCACCCAGGTTGGGGAATCTAACCAGCAGCGTTTGGTTCTGGTCTATCTTGCTGGGATTGTTGGTGATGGTCACCGACTGGCGCACGGCTCTGACACCTAGAGGCTCTCTTGATCTTCGGAAAGGATCTAGTTTCCTACCATACATTGTTATATAGATAAAATATCAAAGTTTAATATAAATAATGGCTGAAGGCGGCCATGAGGAGATCCCGATGATTTTGGCGCTGGTGCGTATGATGGGGATTACGATGACACCTCATTCATGGGCGACACTGTTAGAAATGAACTTTTAAAATCAGCCGTCGACGAGTTGAAGTCAGATAGAAACTACATCGATCCATTGGGGCTAGACTATTCCAAGTTTACCATCGACAAGAAGGGCACGCTGCGATTGAAAGCTCATCCGGGGATTGATCTCATGAACAAACACACGAGAAAACCGCTTGCCTTGTCTACGCTAGGCAATCGCCCTGGTGGGAGGCAACTGATCCGTGATGAACTAGGCTTCATAGATTACGGTAGCGCACGGCCTAAGCTTCCAAGATCTGCAAAACATCAGGGTCGAACTCAGCGGTGAAGGTGATGCCAAAGAAACATCAGATAGTATCGAAAAAATATTGGCCACGTACCATGTCAAACCCTTGCCTGGTTTAGAATTTCCTGTTCGAGAACTGCGAGGCCTAGACGAAGCCTTGAAACGTGTACGAGGAGAACTCGTGAACAACATGGGGAAACTGAATGAAATCGATGAGCACATCGCCCACGAGAAAGTAAAACTCACCGAAACGGAAGACGAGTCTCTCAAAACCATCATCGAAAAACGATTGCGCAACTTGCAAGATGAGAGACGGACTCGGTTGGAATCCGCTTCCTTGAACCGTGAACAGCTTCGATCCCAGATCAGCCGCGTGCGTGAAACCATCGATCGAGTCCTGAATGAAGACACCACGCTAGCTGACAGGATCCAAATCCTCTTCTGAGAGCAAGAGATCATCATCGCAAGCATTCTGACTGCATTGGGCTTCATCATATCAACCCTGGTCATGTCGCTGACGCCTGCCGGCGGACTCGGGGGTGGTGGTACACCCACTGTGGATAAAAAAACATCTGAAATCCCTCGGGGAGGCCCTGGCTAAACTCGCTGGTAAGGCCGCCGAAGCCCTGCCCGGCATCCTGGGTAGCATCGTCTCGTGGTTACTTCGCACGCTGTCGAAAACAGTCACGTGGCTCGGTCAAAACCTGTGGGCAGCCGTCGTCGACATGGCAGGTCTGGTGTACGTAGCGGCTAAGGAATATTTAACCAAATGAGTCTGACAGCGATCCTGCCAAACAGCAGCGCTGTTTTACGGTCGATGTGCTGCTGATTGGCCGCCTGCTGTTGGGGCTGTGGGTGTGTGGGTTGAACCCTAGGCTATGGGGGTGGCGCCACTATACCCGTTTCACCGGTCGTGGGAGGTGGTACGTGGGTGACGTTGACATCGGGGTTGACGCCCAACTTTTGGTCTGCCGTGGCTACGACGATTTTGTTGTTGATTCTCAGTCGCAAGTCGCTCGGATCAATGTTTAGTCCCACGTCGAACACGTAGTTGACGCAGTACCCGTACCGATGATACCGGAACGCGTTTGATTCTGAGCGCCCAGCACGGCCCACACGTACGTTCGAATCGAGTCGTTCAAGCGTTTGATGCCGGCATTAGTAAACCCTCTCGACGTGTCCAGCATGAACTTTTTCAGTCATCCGCGGGCCCCTGCTCGAACCTCCAGACTCGGTAATCCTTGCTGTTGTCGAAAGCCATGTAACGGTCATCCCACTCGTTTGTTGTGATATGATCCGGCTTGTACCCCCATTCTTTCATCTTTTCGCTGGCTTCCACGAGGGGCATGTTGTGAATGATGTGGATACCCAACCTGTGGTTTGGGCCCGGCAAACGCCAATCCGTCTTCGGGTCTAGTTTGAATTCATTGCAAACCCGTTCGTAGGCCCGTCGATCGTACCGGTTGTTTACTGCGTCCCATGCTTTGTCCTGTGGGAGTGGAGCGCTGATCTCTTTGAGGATACGCCTGACCTGGTAGTACACTTCAAACGTGAACACAGACTGACTCAGCAGTCCCCACCGAGTGTCGGTCAATGTCAAGCCGCACCCCGTTGTAGCACACCACACGGTGAAGTTGAGTTGATTCTGCCAAAACTGCATCGGGTTGTTGAACCAGGCGTGGACTACCTTGACGTTAGTCACCGAAAATCTATACCTGTCAAATACATCTATAAACTGGGCGCCGAAATACAGCCCAGCAGGGACCATGATCTTCATGTGCGGGAAATCTATGTCCAGTTTAGGGTAAAACACTCCCGGAGGGTAAAACGCTCCTTATAAGCTGTTCGTCAGTGGCGCCCGCAACCAGATAACTGACGGTTACTACAGCGTGTGCTCGCTAGGCGACAAGGTCTTAGAACCCTTGGGAGCCGAACTCAAGATGAACCACTCAAACGGCACTGTGATGTTAATCAACAACGGAATAAACCTCTTGAGGCTCGGTCGGCCATTGGTGAGGACACTCGGTATGCCGCCTGACAAGATAAAACCCACAACTACCGTCACAGGCACGAAGTTACCCGACCTAGTACCGTACCGAGAGCTGTGCATTCATCTCAGTCAGTTGAGCACAACGGACAACATTCAAGGTGGCCACCCTTCCACGATCCTGAGAGTTGACCGGTGAAAACGTAGAAGTACAACGACGGTAGAACCGAGTCGTTTTCACCGCGTCAGTATAAGAGGTTAACACGGGGCAACATCCCGGAGTTGATAATATCAGTGTTAGATATAAAGCATAATCCTGTTAATATAGGATTCCTCAGCATAACGTTGCACATAAAATGACTAGCGCACAAGGCCCCGGAATGAGGTTGAAAAAATGCATCAAAGCGGGGATCTCCGACCTCGGGGACACACGTGGATTCGACGACCCCGGAGTAGATGGTAAATTGTACGCCTTGCAACTGAAAAACAACATTTACAAACACGTTGAAGTCCCCTCCGGGAGAACCCTAGGCAACATAGTAGATACCTCAGGAGCGGCCCTCAACACTCGGTTCGACCTAGTCCCCATCGGCGATGATAGATGGGCGGTATCCCAATCGTTCGGAGGCAAACTGTTCGACTTAGAAGATGTTGAGAGCACGACCGTCGCTCGAAACAAGCGACCGTCGCTCGAAACAAGCCATATACGCTCGTCTTCACCGACGACGACAAGTGGGTGCTGTTACCCTCTCACGATTGGTTTCTCAACATTAGGCTCGGCTCCCCCTACGTGTTCATGGAGAACAAAGACAACTACCTAAACAAAGTCGTGAACAACGGAACCCTTCTAGTGGCTTACGTCCCGACGCAGAGACGTAGCGTAGTCATCACCCCAGTCTCCAGTATGGCGGCCCACATGCTGTCGAGCAAGCCCCGGATGCAAAACGTGGTATTGCAGTTGGTGTCTGAATTCGAAGGCGTGGTCAACATCCTGGAGAACCTACCGGCGAACTCCATGCTGGTCCTCCAAGTATACCTAGGGGAACCACAGCACGAAGTCGAAGTCGTGAAGGGGATCAAACTCCGGTGGGTGAAACGGCCCCAGTATCAGGTTTGCACTGTTTACGTGCGGGTGGGTGTCGATTCCCACTCCAGTCTGCAGGGAGTCGACGTGACCGTGGAAGACACGATATCACTCACTAAGATCTTCCTACCCGACAACATACACTTCATGGGGGTGAGGTGCACCCCTGAGAAATTATCAGAAAAACAATTGGAAACTATCTCGTAATAGTATTATAGCAATGTCCAATCGTCATCGGCCCAACGCCACACTTAACGATCTAGGAGACACGGAGGAATTTCGATCTGCCCGGTGAGGAAGACGCCTTGTATGACCTACGCTTGAAAGACAACGTGAATAGAAGGGCGGCAATGGCAGATCATCGGCCCAATATCACACTCGGGGACCTAGGAGGCATAAAGGAATTCGATCAGCCTGGCGTGGACGGCACCTCGTACGCCCTCCACTTAAGAGCCGTTAGTACGTGCGGGTGCCTGTGGCAGACGACCTTATAGAGCCTGAATGGTTGATCAACATGACCCTCACCGCACCTTACGTCTCTTTAAATGCATATAGACGTGTTACTGAAATTAGAAACAATGGTATCTTAATCGGGTCTTTTATTCCGGAAAGGGGCCCTATAGAACCTCATCTAATACCAGGTCACACGTGTAACATGATAAATGGTGAACTTAACGCAGAGTTAAGGTTTAACGTACCCGATTCCAAATTGGATATGAAACCGGACTCCTCACTCATCATAGAAGTCCAGCTAAGAGATAATGATCCTCTTGATAGAGGGCATCAACTTTTACCTGGGGTGACAATACACGATGGCACCATGGGCATTCACGAACGTTTCCATATCACCATACACCGGCGGGGGGGGGGCGACATGGAATTTAATAGCCTCCTTCGTATCCCCCATAGGGGCTCGTCTAGTCATAGATTTACCCTTTAAACTCTCACCTATTTCCCTGCACGAGAAGCTTAACCTTATAAGTTTCAAATATATAAATAAATATATTGAACCGATAGTAAACCCATAGGAAACACAATTAAAAAGTATCTCATATAATATATTATAGGATGGGTCTGTACCCTGTCGTAGAAGAAGTCCACTGACAAAAGCTTTATTTGTGAAATAAAGCTTTACAGAGGCTTTTGTTGGACTTGATCTCGGACAATCATTGTATATACTACTCCCGGGTTCGAGTCCCCACATGAGTACAATATGTGAAGCCAGTATTTGATGCCCCCCTGTGATATTGCTGGAATATGGCTTCCGGCATTTGTACAAACCGTCAGAATTAACGCCATAGATGCATCCAGGGTACTAGTGGAGCTTTATCGGATACGTTTAGGAAAGACCATTTTTATGATCACTTTCCCATGCTTGTCGTAAGAGGCAAATAAGTGGATCGGGTGTTCAGGCTAGCTGACGTGGTTGACATATGTCATAGTATCAGAAGTGCATAGATCGATGCTCATGCTGTTGATCACTGGATTGTCTGGTCCAGACTGTACAGACTGCCACCGTATAGCTGGAATATTGCTGAGTGCGGCTTTAAACAGAAAAGAAAGTTACAAGTAAAATCATAAAGAAATTAAATTTGTAATCACCAAAAAAATACATTTTCAGTCATATTCGGAGGGCGAAAAGAAAAGTGATTTACACAAATGGTGCAGTGTCTATCGAACATACAAACTCGGAACACGAACATACCCCGCTAATCTCGTCCACCAAACCCAGTCCACTGGTCAAGGGTACGGTCACCTCCACGGACAAGAGGGCCGACCTCGACGACTCGTCACGTGGTCTGCTGAAGGCATCATTGATGAAGGTCCTATGGCGACTGTTTGGCTGCAGCCTGATTCTGTTGTTTGGCATCAAGTTTGTGGCCGATCTTCTACAGATGGCAGGGCCTTTAGTTATGAGGTAAGGGTGTCGTCGTGGACATGAAGGTTCGTGTGGAAGCCTAGTGGTTAAAGCCTTCTCTCGTCATGCCAAATTATCGATTCCCCACATGGGTACAATGTATGAACCCTAGATCTGGTGTGCTCCGCCGTCATATTGCCAGAAGTGGCGTAAAACTATAGTTTAGTTTTATGACACTTTATACAATCTTGCAGCAATATAACGGCGGGGGACACCAGAAATACCATTGTACCCATGTCTGGAATCGAACCTGGACGTTTGGCGTGACCACCAAACGCTTTAACCACTGGGCTTCCCCTCCGCCCTGAATATGTTATAAGCAGTAGTGGTCACATTTCCATCGTTTCGGACACCGTCCTTGATTAACAACATGGGTACAAAGTGTGAACCCCTTTCCGTGGTCTCCGCTATGAAATTGCTGGAATATTCCTGATCTGGTTTCAAACCCCACTCACTTGTCTAATGTACCAAGCCTAACGTGCTGGATCGTGAGTTCACCCAAACCAAGGTTCACCCAGGTTAAGTTTCGAAGCTTGGCAGCACGTAACCGTCCTCGTGGGTTTGAATAAGGTGGTTAAAGATCTGCATGACATTGAGTTTACTCTCACGATTACACGCTATAGTCCGTTTGGCTCAAAAGCGGAGCGATGAATTGCAATCTAACTCGAAAACTAATAAACATAAAACACTCAATGACACGCTGATCTTAATCAAAACATCATACCCACTCTGTGAGGTTTTTGCAGAATTTTTGTCCTAAAATTAAAAAAAGTTGCTTAACAATCTATCATTAAAATATTGACACAGTTCACTATTTGTTACGAGGGAGGAGTGCAGAGAAAGGGACAGCCAGGTTTAGAGAAAGGATGGAGACGGCACAGCACAGGTTAATGAATAAATAACTTTGTCTGTGAACGTGCTTCTCGAACACCTGGCTGTCCCTTTCTCTGCACTCCTCCCTCGTAACAAACAGTGAACTGTGTCAATATTTTAATGATAGTTTGTTAAACAACTTTTTAATTTTTAGGACAAAAATTCTGCAAAAAACTCACAGAGTGGGTATGATGTTTTGATTTTAATGAGCGTTTCATTGAGTATTTTATGTATATTAGTTTTCGAGTTTAATTCATCGTTTTCGAGTTTGCAATCACTCACTTTGTGTCAGCTCGAGTTTTGAAGGCGTGTCTCCTTCACCTAATAATGTCGGCGAGTGATGACCGTGTGCAACCTCCTCAGTTACTCCGTTTTCCATCTGGATCGATGCTCATGGTATCAATCCCTGGTTTTCTGGTTTTTGAAGGTTCCGACTTCCAACCCATAGACCAGGCTCCGACATAGATAGATAGATATAAATGCACATGGTCATTTTTGTGACACAGAAGGTTTGGTGTCGGGTGATACAGTCCCTAATTTTTTTTTTACATATTCAAGAAAGCCCATGCAAGTCTAGAAAATGTGGCTAGTCTAAAATACCAAATTTGACGGAAATCTCTTTTAAAGTATGTTTTGTAGTAATATTTTAGAAACCGTTGTTTTGTGTAGTACATGTTCATTTCCGAAACAAATGTTTATCTAGAGATTCTACCATGGCTACGTGAAATGCTCGAATTTGATTGGTCAATCAATAAAATCAGACGGTATCAATTTGGATTGAAAATGCGTCTGATTTCACGGCGCTTCACTGCGCACGTATACAACACTGTCGCACTACTTCAGCTTGGCCACCAACATGACTGATATCAACACAACAGACGTGATGGAAATGCTGATGAAACATTTATTAAAACTCGAAAAATACAATTATACGATTTCTCCTCCACAATTATTAGGGAACCTCACTATCATAATTATTACCTTCTATTATAAAAATATTCAAACTCAATTACAATACACAGCCCCAAACATAAACAAACAATATCTAACATATAAATCAGAAAACCTTGTAAAAATACATCCCTATCTATCCCTATTTGTGCGGCAAAACGTTCGTAAACATTTACCTACCTGGTGATTGGTATATTTGTTTCCGTTTAGAATGAGAAATTCGCAAGATAACGGTCAGGCGAAACACAAAATTTTATGCCACTCATACTCCATCATGTCCCGTTGCATCGTTCAAAATGTCAAAAATTGAACCACGAGAATTCCGCTCTCTGCCACCTTCCCCGCAAGGCTGTCACTGCTATGTTCGTACACTTTGAAAAGCTTGGCCACAATCCAGTCCCAAATGATGAGAACAATGTTCCAAGGAATCCCAAGTTAGTCGCATGTACACAAAGCAGCACTGTCACTCTTTCGTCGCATGCCGGGGTGGAGGCACGTACGTGAAATCATGATCGACACTCGCCGGTCATAAAAATTAACAGTCTTTGATGAGTTACAGGTCATAGGTCGATCAGAAAAGGATGTATTCTTCGATTCTGCAGGGTTCAGGTTCGACAGTCAGTCAAGTATTTTCCACTGTCACTTCGAATTTCAACCTTTCGCAAAATGTAAACACTGGCTCGTCCGCCATTTCAAACTGTTGCGTAACTGTCTACTTCCAAGAAAATAAGTAGGTCAGACGATTCCATTATAGTGTGGCCAGGGGTACAGTAACACGGCACACAAAACAATAGGCTGGTTTCGGTCGTGTGGAGTTATGATTATAAAACCAAGCTCTTAGGTGTTACATTATTGCATTGAATAAACAGTAGTTTGTTTTCTTTGGACAGAATATTTTTTTATGTTGCAATGTTAAAAAAATACGAACGGCACCTACCACTCCCTTCACAGACGAGTTCAATTCGCCTCTCGTCCCATGCCGGATTACGCAGTGTCTTCCGCAGGACGAGGAAGTTCGATGTTAAATCGGTTATGGTAGAATGGAGATAAACATACTGTGTTTGGAAATTAGATGAATGTTAGACCGAATTGATAGTCTCTAAATTAATCATTTGAAACCTCACGCTACGCGTTCGGCTTCAAATGAAATTTAGAGACTCTATCAATTCGGTCTAACATTCAAAATCTGAATTTACCAATACACATTAATACAAGACTTAATATCTCCAAATTAATTATACTGAATCAGCGCATCAGTGACTTCATGAACTACCTGTACCTGTTGTGGACAGTTCCCGTCCAGATCATCCTGTCCATCATCCTGCTGTACGTCACGATAGGACCGTCCGTGTTTGCCGGTCTCGCAGTCCTCCTCATCATGATTCTCTTCAATGGCTTCCTTTCCAACACACAACGTCATCTACAGGCCAGGAACCTCAAGGACAAGGACGAGCGGATCAAACTGCTGAATGAGATCCTGAACGGAATCAAGGTTTGAATGATTAATACATTTGTCTTGAGTGTTTTGTTTTAAACCCCACCATATTCATTTGAATGCAGTGTTTGACTGCCACGCGTCCAGGTTTGATTTCCGGTGTTGGTTTTGTGTGTTCCTTGCGATATTCCATTTATTTTGCTGCGGTCTGTAAATATTCGAATTTTGAGCAGGACATCCAATGGTTAAACTCATGAGCATTATTAAAACAGGCATGGGTTGCTGTTGATTTCCTAGTATATTTAAAATCAGGGAAAATATCTGAAATAGGAGTGTCAGGCTCTGGCATGTGGCTGACTGTGTCATTGCACACTGACACGTGGATCATTGCTTGAAATATAAATCACTGGTCCAGAGTCGAGAGTTGAATACACCATACAGCTGGAATATTGCCAAGTGCAAAGTTAAACAATGAGTGAGTGAGTTTAGTTTTACGCCGTTTTTAGCAATGTTTCAGCAATACCACGGCGGGGGAGACCAGAAAAGTGCTTCTTACATTGAACCAATGTGGGGAATCGAACCCAGGTCTTGGCGTGACGAGGGAATGCTTCAACCACTAGGCTACCCCACCGCCCTCCGAAGTTAAACAAAAAAATAACAAAATATCCTTAGCGCCAAATCAATGAACTGCATAAATTCAAAGAATACATAACAAATGCTTACTTGTTGCTTGACTTGTCGCAAACTCGATCAGTTCCAAGCATAGTGTCCAGCATTCACCCACTGCAGTAGGATAGCCCAATGGTTAAGCTGTCCACTGGTCACGTTGAAGACCCGGGTTCGATTCCCCACATGGGTGCTGTTTGTAAAGCCCATTTCTGGTGTACCCCGTCGTTATATTGCTTGAATATTGGTAAAAGTGGGATAAAACTTAAACCACTCACTCACTAACTCGATCAGTTATGGGCATAGTGTCCCGCATTCACTCACCGAGATGATGTCGTTGCAGGTGTTGAAGCTGTACGCATGGGAGGAGTCGTTCAAGAGCAAGGTGCAGGAGATCAGAAAGAAAGAGATAAGCTCACAGCTGAAGATCGCCTACCTCTCTGTTCTCACTGGGCTCGGCTGGACCGTCGCACCATTCCTAGTAAGGGGAGGGGTTGGGGGGTGGGTGGGAGCTGAGTGGTGAAAGCGTTCTCTCGTTTCTCACCCATTTCTGGTGTGTCCAGCCGTGATATTCACTCACTCCTGGTAAAGGGCGAGGGTAGCTGATGAGTGGTTAAAGTGTTCACTCGATTGGAATTCAGTGTGACCAAAGCATCGGCGAATGCAAATGGGTCTGAGGTTAGAAACCCGGCTGACCATGTGTAATTCACAACATTATATAAGCGTCTGGTTTGGCTCCTCCAGACTCAATGTTTATAGGCCGCCGACATAAGCAGCACAAAACAATACGGGGCAGTGGGGTAGCCTAGTGGTTAAAGCGTCTGCTCATCACGCTGAAGATCCGGGTTTGATTTCGGACATGCGTACAATGTGTGAAGCCCCATTTCTGGTGTCCCCGCCGTGATCTTGCTGGAATGTTGCTAAAAGCGACATAAAACCATACTCACACATTTTATGTGTTGTAGGTAGTTGCAGCAACGTTTGCTGCATACATCCTCGCCGACCCCAACAACCAATTGGACGCCAACAAGGCCTTTGTCACCCTCTCCCTCTTCAACATCCTCCGTGTCCCCATGAATCTTCTGTCGGCCATCATGTCGTATACTGTTCAGGTACGAGGCAGTTACCTCCCTTGACTAGCATGGCTGTTTTGCCCATTCGTCACCACTGGCCCCATTCCGTAAATGCTATTCGGCTTGTCCCAGATTTGGTCACAAATGCTGTTTTTCCAAAGCTTTCTTTGGTGCTGACAGACCCACAATCATATTTGAGTAGAACCTGGATTCCAATCCATGTTCTTAGGGTTCTGTTTGGTCCAAGAATTTACAAACAATCCATATGATGGGAATCTCCAGCCAGAAGTAATTTAAAGCGACATTGTGACATTTGTCCACAATTAGAGCCACACCTCTGTAAATGCTCAAAATCAACCATGGTGATTCAGGTGTAAAATCAAGCAGATTGAAATAATGACTTGGTCAAAAACAAAATGTGATCTGAGTTATCATGTGCATTTAGTACCACTGGTGTTATGAGAGTGTGTTTTTTTGTAATTTGTAATATCATTGATTAAGTGATAGTTATTGTGGGTCACAATGTTTAAAGTTTTGACTGTGGGTTTAGCTTGCATCTCGCATCATATATGTTCAATGGCAATAGTATTTCTAGCGGCACGCCTTTTCTATAGCAATTCAGAATTGCCTCCCTTGGCAATTTTGTTTATTTACGGCTTTCATCATGTCGTGTGTTCCACATGATTGCTTAACGTTCTGAGAGAATAATGATGGAGCATAGCTTTGCTAGAATGCTCGAGAACTGTGAAAGAGCTATAGAAAGGATGGTTGTTGTGTTGTGCGACAGTACTTATCACGTCACTGGAGTTATACACATCTGTCTGTCATTGTCAAGCTGACCTACATTTCAAGACTGACCGTGCTTGACTGTTGTCATTGTAAACAACCTTCAATCAGTATATCTGCTCTCACTGTAAATGTCAAGACTCTGGTGAGTTGATATTTTATAGTTATGACCCAATATTTTAGATTGTTTACTCAATTGCATTGTGCTAGAAATCTGTACTGCCATTCATTGTAGCTTGCTCATTGTTTATTCTATATATTATTGAATATTTTAGACTTGTTTGTGTTCTATTTTGCTGGTTCAAAGGGGACTTTTAAACCTTTTGTCACTGCGAATTTTAACCTTAACACTGTTAATATAGTCTAACACCGTTGTGTTGAATGAGAAGGGAACTACGAGAATACTTCGAGTTATCAAGTTCTGGCCTCCCACACAACGAAATATGATGATCAAGAAGCTTAAGAAGGGACCAAGCTTTTATTTGGACACCGTAAGCTCGACACAAGGGTGTTCGACTGTACAGTGCTAACTATCAACTGTTCATCGAGTCAAGAATTGATAAGGGACTCACTCACTAACCCACTGATTGTTAGATGTGTACAATGGTGAGATGTGTCACGTACTATTGTAGGCCTACGTGTCGGTCAAGAGAGTGAACTCGTTTATATGCAGTGAAGATCTTGACACAAGCAACGTCACATACGATAAAGACGCCGGTAAGTAGATGTACACATTAATGAGTCAGGACACAATTTATACTTTACTTTACTTTACAATTCATTGGTGGGAGCAGTTGGGTAGCTTAGTGGTTATAGCGTTTGCTCATCACGCCAAATACACGAGTTCATTTCCCCACATTGGTACAATGTGTGAAGCCCATTTCTGGCATCCCCCGCTGTGATGTTGCAGCCATATTGCTGAAAACTAAAAACTAAATTCCCTCACTCAATCAGTCACTCAATGTGAGTCCGCATACTTTATCAGATGAGATAATAAATCTAGTCACATTGACCTTTTTCCAGCCTTTTCGAGATCAGAGGGAATGCCTTAATGGAATTCAACATCAGGATAAACACAGGTTTAAAGTGAATGAAGTATTCAATGACAAATGTAGCCTTTTAGATATTTTATAAACCTATTTTCAGTCGCTTTCTTGACACTCCTTCCTTTGTGGTTTCCCTTGGCCAATTGAAACTTACCCTTTCTCTCTTCAACTTCACTTTGGCCTGTTCGACCACTTGTTGAGTAGGGGACACAAATGTAACTTTGGGTTCCTGAGAAGACATGTACTGTGTCTGATCCTTTCTTTTCTGTTCTTCCAAATGTTTTTGTCATTCAGGATCATAGAGTTCCAGTGGTCTATCACGTCGTCCCCTGTCTTTCCTCTCCTCTCATGACAAAATTATAAGGTTTCAGTTTACCCTGGACTTGCAAGATATAATACCGAGCCCACTCCTCTGTGTCTGGGACATACAGTTTATATTGTTGATTCATGGTGATGTGTTCTGTTTGGCGTTTGTCCTCATGAATGTTCACAAGGTATACTTGTTTCCCCCTTTTATACCCTTAAAAGCAAAACGGGAGTGGCTTCAGGTGAAGGGTGACTGTCAGTGGTCCACGTAAAAATGAAGTTCGTATTCCCTCGTGGCCTTTTGATATAGATATCCGCAGTCTTAAATGACCTTCAACTTTCATGGCTTGGTATAGCTTCTTGGGTCCAGCATAACTACGAGGATGTTTGGAATCATAATAAATAACGTTTAGATAGTCTTCCCAAGGTGTCATCTCAAACGCAACTGAACATGATTCACATGCGCCATGCTATTTATAGAGATAAAAATCAAAACCAAGACGAAAATACAATACAGGGTTTTATTCACATACATGATCAAATCAAGGACAATATTTACAACAACTTTTCACGGACATACATTAATGCAAATAAAGTTGTGGGAAAAACAAGGTGATCTTTATACCCGAAATGAGGTCACATAACAAAGGTCATATGAGTGTCATGAACTGATGAGGATGGGGTTTCCCATTAGGTCACCTGGCAACCCAAGTATGAGGTCATGTTAGTGGGATTAAAAACTCATCCAATGAAGTAGGTCAGCTGTCAAAAAAAAATAAGAAATGACCGACTTTCTGCTATTTACCACTGGTTACAAAAATCATAAATTAATTTCAAGACTATCACCAAGTAATCTCAACTTTAGAATGTCATAAAATAAGTGTTTATTTTGCTAGTTTCTTTATTTCTCCCCTCTCTTTCCAGGTGAGGTTTGAGATTAGAAACATAAACCACTAAAAGTTTTAGACCTGTGAACATCTTGGTTAGAATTGGTCTTCAGCAACCCGTGCTGGTCATCAGAGGCGACTGACTTGGATGACACGTCACCGCATCCCAGTTGCGTAGATACATGCTCATGCTGTTGATCACTGAATTGTCTGGTCCTATGTACGTTTGTTTCAGAGTATGCAGTACAGGTTGAGAAGGGGATCTTCACCTGGGACAGGTCTCAGTCCCCAAACTTGAAGGGGTAAGTGTTCCCAATACCGCTTCAAATGAAACAATTTCACCTCTTTGTTGAAACTTCATGTCGTGTGTGCGTTTATTTAATACTGGATTAAATCACTTTAGTTCGAGAAGAACCAGTGATCGTGGGTTCGAATCCAGCTTCATATGTCAGCAAAAGACTTATGTCACTTCTGGCTTTCCTTTTACAGTAAACACGCCCTTGATATAACCGAATACTGTTCAAAGAGGCGTTAAAACCCTCGTACACTTGGTAGAACGATGCAATATCAAGTCTGTCTGTTCATCTGTCCAGCAATTATTGCTGTTAATGAGTGAGGGGGCTGGGAGGTGGGGTTGGGATGGGGGTGGGACGAGCTCAGAACTGAAGGCTTTTCGTGTTCAGTGACATCCACGAACACGACTATGTTGCTGACAAACAGGAACATGTGAAGTGGGATTCGAACCAGCAGTCGCAGTTGTCTAATATATAAATATTTTGAAAGCATGTATACACGTACGCGAAATGGCATATGCACCATAGTTACTACAGTATCGGTAAAGATGCAAGTAAGAAATAGTCTTCAGGAACCCATGCTGTCGTAAAAGGCGACTAGTGGGATAGGGTGGTCAGGGTTGTGGTTTGATTGATCGTATCCCAATAGCGGGAATAATTTCTCAGTCATGAGATTGTCTGGTCCAGACTCGTCTTACAGACCGTGGTAAAACTGTCAGAAAAAAACAGAACGAAACTTGCACCAAACAACTGGCAATAGCTGATTGTCGAAAACAATCTATCGAGTGACATGTATGATCCTTTCCTGTTTTCTCTTTGACAAGCATCAATCTGAGGGTGCCGGAAGGAAAACTTGTCGCCATTGTTGGTCATGTTGGTAGTGGGAAGTCGTCATTTTTATCCGCCATCTTGGGTGAGATGGAGAAGCTGTCTGGCACCGTAACAGTCAAGGTAAGATAACTAAACAATGTCGGTCGTCACTTAATTCCTACCATTCACTCATTATTATGTAATGCTTGACTCTACGTTTCATTTGACAAAGACTGGCCCGTGAAAATTGGAGTTAGAACTGGTCAACTTCAACCCATGCCTCGTATTAGGTGAATACTTTAATCGGGTGGTCAGGCTTGCTGACTTGGTTAACACGTCATCGTATCCTCTATGTGCTGATCGATGTTCATGCTATTGATCACTGGATTATCTCGTCCAGACTTGATTGTTTACAGACCTTTGCAATATACATAACTATTCTGACTGTGACATTAAACAACGAACAAACGTCTTAGAATTACTCAGTTTATCACCATCCCATATTGTTTCAGTCATCAACGGCCTACGTACCACAGCAAGCATGGGTACAAAACGCCTCACTCAAAGACAACATACTCTTTGGCAAAATATTCCGTGAAACAAAGTATCAAACAGTGATCGACGCATGCGCCCTGAAGCCGGATCTTGCTATCTTAGCTGCCGGGGATGAGACTGAAATTGGAGAAAAGGTGTGCACTGGGGAGACCAGTTTGACCGGAATCTTTCTATTCTAAAAAATACTTTTAACATTTCATTATGTAATGTGAACGTAATTGGTTTATGTCAGCATGAGACGATGGTATAACTCACAGAGGATGTTATTGCTTCATAATGACATAGTTTGAATCGAATCATGAACAGAGTTGTTTGTGAAACAAATTCATAGAATTTTTTTGAAACTGTATTATTTACTACAATAAGAAACATAACTATTAAAATAAGGATCGTGTGGATCATAGCATCATCAATCTGAGGCTCTGAAACCGCCAAGGCGTATAAGGTATATAGTGCAGCCTCGATTACTTACTTACGGATTATTTGGAAACAACTCAAAGCAGCCTGTGCAGTTCTATGTTGGTATTGGTGACCTTAACCTTGACCTTCAGGGTATCAACTTGAGCGGAGGTCAGAAGCAGCGCGTGAGTGTTGCACGTGCGGTTTACAACAACGCGGATATCTATCTGTTTGATGACCCTCTGAGCGCCGTGGACAGCCACGTTGGAAAGCACATCTTCAAGAATGTCATCGGCCCCAATGGCTTACTCCATGGAAAGGTATGGATGTGGATAATAACATGTTCCCAGTACTAAGAACTAAATCGGTTGGTAAAGTGAGTTTACCAGATTCAATTTTAGATTGGTCAAAGTTGTTAAAGACTGTGAAGATCAGGGTTAGAATTGCTCTTCAGCAGCCCATACATGTCGTAAGAGGCGACTGACGGGATCGGGAGGCCAGGTTTCCAAATAGGCCCAAACACGATATCCAGGGTGAAAGATAACGATATGTACATGCTGCTGGTCCTGTATTGATGTGATATGTGATGACAGTGATGTGTGGCCTATAAATCTCTCATAGAGCATTATGTAACATGCGGGATTTGCCCGGCTCTCACAGAAGTTTCTAGATTGGTCTTGACCCACTGTCTAAATATGGTAACTTATTCAACAATGCCCTCTGCTGCATCTGAACAGAACCAAACATCGTACAATTGCAACCCTTCATCACCAGGAAGTCAGTGTCACATAATATTGCTGAAGCTATTTCTCGTGTACAAGCCATGGTATTGTTTGAGGTGTGAGATGAGAAAGCGTAAATGCCGGCTCTTTTGTCAAGTGTAACGCATTATTTCCCATTGAACAGACCCGGATCCTGGTGACACACGGCGTCCATTGGCTCCCCATGGTGGACCACATCATTGTCATGAATGATGGCTGCATCACTGAGACCGGAAGTTACGATGAGCTAATGTCCCACGACGGCCATTTTGCCCAGTTCCTCAAGACCTACCTCATAGAACAGGAAGAGGATGAGAGTGAAGATCCGGAAAGTAAGTTTTATAAAACAGTTTCTCTATTTCCCACCCGGATCTTCCAGTGTTGGGCTTCATTTCGAAAAGCGTTCAGTATCTTTCAACAAAACTTGGCAGATATATTAGGTGCCTTTTGCTATTTACAGATTTTTGGCATTTATATTTCTCATGATTTCCATTGAAATGATTTGGACTTAGTTTAAAAAAAAGTCAAGCTGGACTTTAAGTAACTGTCAGATGATTTGTTCTTTCACATATGTCGGGGCCGGGGGGATATGTCATCTTCTGATGACTCTTGTTTTACTTTGGAGATAAGGTCCTCACACTTCATCCTATGTAGAAACTGATTAGCTACTGAGTAATAGATAAAGCATTAATGTTGTTGAAACCGGCGTAAAACTATACTCCATCGATCGTGGGTTTCATTCCAACATTAATCCGATTATGACACTTCGTTTGTCAACACCATTGTCATGCTTGATTTTTGACAAAGTGGAGTGTGAAACTTTAAAAAAAAGAAGTTTTTGGAAAGTTTCATTAAGTTTAAAATGCACTTCACTAAAATGCGCTTAATAAAGCATGGTATTACCTAATGGTTCTGTACTGTGATATAATCAGTAATCCAACCATATCCAAGGATGGTATAATATCTAAAAGCTTTTTGAGAGACAAATAAGCATTGTACAGACTAAATAAAAGTGATAGTTGTTGAACAGAAATACTCTAGGTATAACTTTCGTTGTTTGTTGTTAACGCCACACTAAGGAATATTGCAGCTATTTGATGGCAGACAGACAATGGTAGTTAGTGCATTTTTTTCAGTTGAAAGATGTTCTTAAATCCCTCTATTATGTAAAAAAATGTTATTTTGTATTTGTTTGTTCATATGTCACAGGATCGATCCATTTAAACTAATACTAATTATTGTTTAACTTCACAGTTCAAATGATCAAGGAGAAAATGCTTGAAATGGTAGAATCGATGGAGGAGGGCTCATCAAGGCGAAGAAAGAGGTATCTTACAATATAACAGTAAATGATAAAAAATTGGCTCGGCTTGGCTTGGCTTTTCTGAAAAGCAGTTGAGCCTGATTATGTCGACGCTGCAAGTTGGCAATAATTGTTCAACTACGCCTGCCTGGTACCCATCTATTGTCTCTGTACATCAGGGGGGAGAGTTCCCGTTTTCATTGATAGTATTCTGCAACGACCCCTTTCCTATTTTCTTATCAATGTTAACGCCAACAAGGTGTACCCCAAGGGTGCAATAGCCCAGGGATTGAATGAGTCTACATGTGTCTATACGGTTGTTGTATAGGAGGTTAACAGCAGAAAATCCGCCTTTTGGTTTTCTTTGGACAGGTGACCTACTTCATTTGAAGAGTGTGATGAATGAGATTTTTATCCCTCTCACGTGACCTCATACGTGGGTTGCTAGGTGACCTAATGGAAAAGCCCATCCTTATCAGCTCATGACACTCATAAGGGCATCACATGACATGAAAAATACAGACACTAAAATCATATCGCCCAATCAATAAACAGTATCCATCAATGAATAGTTGTTTCTGTGACAAATGAAATAGGTGAATGTCATGTGATGCTGTAACTCATAAGATAATTCATATGATCGGTTGATGTATTACTTTAAATAACTATATTTGGTCATAAACTGATAAGCTAAATCATGTTGTGTAAGTTGATGAGAATGATGTATCCATGATCCAACCACACATGGCTATGATTTGGTCAGTAATAAGTGATATACCACAGGATCCGGTTGCGACGCAAATTATTTTTTTAAGCTTTACAACCATATATGGTAAAAATACTTTTGACACTCTTGATTAAGACTATATTTAGAACATGATTCATCATTTTCTTAGAATTTGAGTTATGACCAGTTTAAGCTAGTTTTGACTACACCTATGAAAATGGCCATCGTTTCTACAAATTTCATTCATGCATTTGACTGCTGACGCAATCCTCGTCAGACAAGTTATTAACAGTTCCAGAACATCTTACTGAAATAAGGTAAGAAAATACAAAACTACTACTAACATCACTAAAGTGTCAGAAAGTGTCAAACTAAAACGTGGTATTGTAGAAATAACAAATGCAGACCAGATGCGTATGGCCAGAGTTCTCTCTATGTTTTGCTAAAAGTCGCATTGCTTGAATGGGAGGATCTCCTCGAGGCTCATCCTTTACATCAATGTCAGTGTCGGTTTCTATAAATGTCTAACAGTGACAAGAAAAATACTCATATGGCTCATTTGACTTTAGAACACAAGAAATGTCCTCCATCACTGAACACCAAAGGAAAGATTTTAAAAGTACACAGCAAACCATTTTGGCCCAAGTCCTTTCTGACCCAGCAGCAGTGTCCAAAGAGAGAATGGCAAGTTTGACTGGTATTCCCAAATTTGAAGCAGTCTTAGGTTGCCAGATTTTGGTGGTGAGTGCCAAGTTTGGGAATACATTTATCACTAAAGGAATCAAAGATGACAGAAAGCAGTTTGTCTATTTAATGGGGGACAATCATTTTCATTGCCATCCCAAACGTTTCAGGCTTTTTCAGTCAAAGTTATTTCAGTCTCACCCTATTTCCCAAATAAAGAATTGCATGAATGTGAAACTTACTGTAGGGCTTGTAAGAAAATATAATGTAAGACCAAGGTCCCCACAAGAACTTGACCTGACTGCCACATGCATTGTCGACCTGAAACGTGTTTTGTGGCACAAAAGAAACCAAAAAAGTCCTAGAAAGGTGACCTCCCCTCAGAGTGTGAAACGTAGTGGAGGTGTGACCAATGTTTGCTGAACATTTCGCAAAATAAAGATGGTAAACAGGCTTTTGATACCTACATGTGTCAACCTTGTGGTAAGAGGGTGCCCTTAGAGCACAATTGTTATCATATGCCATTGCCTATGGATGGCAAACCCCAAGTCAAGAAGTTTATCATGTTTGATTTTGAATGTTCACACGACCAAGTGTCTACTTGTGTTGAAGGACATCTACCTTCCACTTGTTCACAGTGTGGATCTGAAGATGATTGCTCACACCATACCCAATGTGCCTACTGTCATCAATCTTAGTGTGGGCGTCAGGAACACAAACCCAATTTCGTCATTGCCCAGTCTGTCTGTGATGCCTGAAAAGATGAACCTTTGACACCCTGGGCCCGGTGCAATAGCTGTGTTTCCAATTTGTGATGTATGCAACATATGGCACAAGAATTCCCAATGTTTCAAGATGCCTCCTTGTCCAGACACGTGTGGTCATCGAGAGCTCAAGTTCCAAGGTTCACACACAGCTGCACTATTTTGTAATGGCAATTTGACAAAACTCACAAAAACCTTTCTGTGATTGCTCACAATTTCAGTGGTTATGACGGCCATTTCCTTTTGGATTATCTGATTTAAAACAGTAATTTACCTGACAACATTTTGTACAGTGGGTCTAAACTCATGTCCATGAATGTCCTCCGGGTTTGAACATTCGACTGTTGGACAGTTTGTCCTTTTTCAGTACCAATTTTAGATGACCTTCCCAAAGATGTTTCACTTGGAAGAGTTGAAGAAGGACTATTTCCCTCGTTATTTTAACACTTCTGTCAACCAACAGTATGTTGGACCTTATCCTGATGCTTCTTGTATGGGGTGAACATCATCTCCTCCCAAGGCAGGAGTGACTTCCTGCAATGCATGCAGAAGAAAAAGACAAAATATTTGACTTTGCTCAAGAAATGGAAGATTATTGTTGGTTCGCTGTTCAAATCTTGGGGGAAGCTCACATGACTTCAGGACTATCATTATTGTTTGTCACAGAGGAAAAGTATCTTGTCAAGGACTATACAACCCAGCAAATCAATCAGATGAAAGAATCTGGCATCGATCCTACAGATTACATTGACATTGACATTGCCAATGTCTGCCATGGGGTATTCAAACACAAGTTTTTGACAAACCAGTCATGTGAAATTACTCTGACGTGGTCAGGTTACTCCTTGAAAAAGTACAACAATGGGTGGAAATCAAACCTGGTCAGCTGTTTACATGGATGAGTCTATCGTTCATGAAAAAGAGACCTTTCCCAATACCATTGCCATCGTCCCTGGAGATGGACACCAAAGATCAATACAATCTGATTTCCATACAGTAGCTGGAATGGTTGATCCATATCAGATTCCATGAACCAAATATAAGGTAGATGGATACTGTCATGACAGCAACACTGTCTACCAATTTTACGGTTGTCTCTATCATGGTTGTCCTACATGTTATACTCATGACAAGGGCAAAACAGTACTGCCTAACACCAAGCAGTCTGTCAGTGAGTTGTATGCCTTAACCATAAGGAGAAATGCAACCATGAAACAGAAGGGTTACGAGTAGGTGACTATTTGGGAGCATGAGTTTAGACATCAAGTCAAAACGAAACCTGAACTGAAGACGTTTCTGTCCACCTTAGATCTTCAGGAAGGTTTAGATCCCAGAGACTCTTTTTTGGGTGGACGAACCAATGCCTACAAATTGTTTCATGAGACAGTGGTTGATGAAGACATTCTCTATTATGATTTCACTTCATTGTACCCTTGGGTGAACAAGTATGGTCAGTATCCTGTTGGTCACCCTCAAATCATAACCAGAAATGTCAAATCTTTGGATCAGGATTTTGGGATTGCCAAAGTCAAGGACCTACACCTTCGTGGACTGTAACAGCCTGTTTTGCCCTATGAAAATAAATTAATTATGACTAATAAAGACTTCACACCCTTCTATGTAAGTCAATTTTAAACTGGCCCTCAGCTTTCACAGCTCCGTGTAATTTCTCGGTTCCAGCATAACTGCTAGGATATTTGAGATCACAATAAATCTGGTTTAGATATTCTCCACAAGGTGTCATCTCAAACACAACTGGACACGATTCACATGCATCAAGCTACTTATACACATATAAAAACCAAGACGAAAATAAAATACAAAGATGTATTTGATACAAAACAAATCAAGGACAATATTTACAATAACCTTCAGAATGGGTCAGGCTACTTTTTGATGACTGACTTAATGATCTAAGGAGACCTACAACTGTGTTATGAAGTAAACAATAGCCTGGCTACAGACAGTGACCCTACCTGGATTTATCTCTCTCTGACTTAACACTTTCAATGCTGGACATGGTCGAGACGTTGCAACAGACAGATCACGAGACACATTTGGTATCAGCGAGGACCTTATCAAACCACAGCCACTCCAACAACAAACAGCGTGGATAGAGCTAATGATGTCTAATTACAGATACTCAAACATTTCAACCTACATAGACTGGGTTGTCGTCTCTGTATTTTGATGTCATTTTAGGTTAACCTTCTTGTTAATAAAATCATCAAATGATGTACCAGAGGGACAGGATGATGCGACACTGGTCACTTGCAATCAGAGCATGGGTCACATGAGGATCCTATCCATTTGAGGTCGTGTTGTTGATTAAAAAAGCCATTCATCACACTCATTGTTTCAAATAGGTTAGCTGTCAAAATTCTGCTAAAGTCAAAATGTTATTCATAGGTATCCTTAGCAACCCACGTATGAGGTCACGTGAGAAGGATTCAAAATGCATCTGATTGTAGCAGGCGTACAAGCCAGGGACTGAGTGGGTCTATATGTCTGCATGAGTCAGTACGGTAGGGTACATCGCTAGCTATTCTTATCTGTGTGTGACGAACCTTGGATTAAGTGAGAGTATGTACATGTGTTGGGTAAATCCCAGCTATTGATCTGTTTGTAACAGGCGAACAAGCCAGGGACTGAGTGGGTCAGGGAGGAGAAGATCGACCATTGAGAAGAAAGAGACCAACACCATGAAGGCATTACAAGGACGACTGACACAGACAGAAACCATGGAGACAGGAAAAGTGAGGGGACAACTGAAACGTTTCATGACGAATCGTAATTCCTGAAGTTTAGGAACATTATAAGTGGGATATGTGGTGTGTAACGACCCAAAGAAGATAGAATACAGAACTATGGTATACGACGGTAACCTACGGTTATAACAAACTCACATGAACCACTAATTATAGTTCGTTTTAACCAGGCAGTGGGACAGCCTAGTGGTTAAAGCGTTCGCTCGTCACGCTGAAAACCTTGGTTCAATTCCCAACATTCACTCACTCATTATAACCGTACTTCGTTATATGCATTTCAACTAAAATAGACTGGAAGCCGGCACAGAAACAAGTCTTTATATCCGTCAGTTCGTTATGAGCGTGTTCAACTCTCTGGGCTAGAACTGATCTTCAGCAGTGCTTGTCGTAAGAGGTGACTAACGAAATGGGTGGTCAGGCTCGCTGACATGGTTGACACATGTCATCGTATCCCAATTGTGTAGATCAATGCTCATGCTGTTGATCACTGGATTGTTTTGGACCAGTCTCGATTATTTACAGACCGCTGCCATGTAGCTGGAATATTGCCATATAGCTGGAGTGGGGCCTAAAATTAAACTCACTTGCTCACTCAGATATTCGTGAAACTGTGAGTGTATCCTGCTCCACTGGTGACACGCACAATCACATCGAAATTTCAAGACAAATCCACTGTTTGCCTGATAAAAGTGCAGCATTAAACAACGAATCCAACCCAATGTAAGTGTGACCGTCATTAACGACGATTACTGTTTTTGTTGCCCCACCCAGTATTTGGGTGGAGTGTATTTTCTATATTCTTCCCTGGCTGTCCTGTTTACCACCCAAATAAGTTTCCCCGTTTTGATGTGTTAATGTAGTGGTCATAAAATTTCCGAGTTCCGTGCTGGTATTCGAACCACGGACCTTCTGATCCGAAGTCGGACGCCTTGTCCACATGACCAAAGAGGTTAACCCCGTCAGCACGGATGTAGGATGACTCCACGCCCTGCTACATTAATCCGAAGCTCAAAGATCGGGAACCATCAACGTGATCATCTGGAGTGGTCATGTGGATATAACATCTGCGCAGTGACCAACACTTGATGGATTGATCTCTTCATTTATAGAAAATAAAAACAAACAAAAAACTAAAAGCATTAATACATAGTGTGTAGTACTGGCACTTAACATCAGTATCTGACCATTGTCTCCCTGAGGTGGTGGGGTAGCCTAGTGGTTAAAGTGTCCGCTCGTCACGCCGAAGACCCGAGTTCGATTCCCCACATGGGTACAATATGTGAAGCCACTTTCTGGGCGCCCCCCCGCCGCGATATTGCGGGAATATTGCTAAAAGCAGCGTAAGACCCGACTCGCTCACTACCCTATAGTCTCCCTTTATAACAGCAATCACTCACTACAGGTCCGGTGGAATGTGTTTCTGATGTACGGAAAAGCTGCAGGGCTACCGACCATCACGCTTTCACTCTTCCTCTTCTTCGCCTTCCAAGCCGTTAATGCTGGGGCGGGTTTCTACCTCACCAACTGGACGGAAGATCCACAGCTCGGCAATTCATCGTCCCTCCCACCGGAAGAGTATGCGGCACTGAATAAGAAGTATCTTGGAACATACTGGTCCTTCGCCTTAGCTATAGGTGTGTCCTGTTACCTATGTGTGTCTGTTATCAAAATGTGTGTTAGCAGGGTGTCTGCTATTATCAATGTATGTGCTGTTGAAGTGTGTCTGTTATCAAAATTTGTATTTGCTAACTTGTGCATTGATAGCAGTATTTGCGTTATCAATTTACGAGGGTCGATCAAAAAGTACTCGACCTCATCTAGAAAATGATACAAATGCAGCTGTTTTATGTTGTATTTTTCTACATATTATCAGTCAACCTCAAGCAAATTGGTTTTGCTATATTCCAGTCTCACGATCCCCATTTTGTTTGACCCTTTATCTTGGTAAACTCAAAAAACGCACAATTTGCAATAAATGCATCACAAACTTCAGGAAACAAAAAATGTAAGAAGCATTTTGTGCGTTTGAGATAGGCAGAAGTCCGGTGGAATCAAACTTATTTATTAAACTACAATCGCTTGTTAAAGTGACTCTCCCCTCTATGTTTTCTGAAAGAGCTTGTTTTGGAGACACTACTCAGCCCCTTTTTCAGATGACGTAATCATGAGGACAAAACGTATTTTAATGTTGTCACGTATTGATACATGATGCCAAGGTTTCAAACTAAATACTGAATGGTCACACAAGTGTCAACTCTCAATATATTGTAAACAGTGCCAGCTTGAATATCTGGACACAATGTTTTTGAAAGATTAAAATAGGGGTGTCTTTTATAAACAACCCTGTTTAAATATAAATTAAGCAATACAAATATTTGACTGTTGATCATGACGGAAGTCATCCAATACTATATTGAACATATTTTATATGATTTTACCTTAGGGGATACCATTATCCTAGAGGTACAAAATGACAGATCGTTTTTCATTTTCTGCAATTTTTTAGAAATATTATATCCCAATGTGTTGTGATGACCGATATCTCGTTAACCACATTACCCACATATGTGAATTTTTTATATGGCTTTGCTAATGATTCCTTAGAAATATAATGGAAGCTTTTCAAACATTTGACATCGAGAATATAGTTCGGGGTTTTGGGTCATAAAGTGATGAAATCTTTCCTTCTCAGTTTGGTCCTGATTCGACCATGTCTAGTCTGTCATAAAGACCCTGAAACAAATATACCCAATGCAGCCCATCTAAGTCTAGAATGAGGGCAAGAAACCCTTTTTTCTCTAAAAAAATAATTTGTTCATTTCAGAGACCATGTAGTCTAGAATATTTCCTTACCCTTTGTAACTTTGCAATATTCATGAGTAGGTCGTTACATGACAAAAAATGAAACATCCAAGTGTCCGCTGAATAAATTGATGTCATATACTTTCTGTTCAGTCGACATCATGGCAGTCTGTGGCTATCTGTTCTGGACGAGATTAGTCAGAGCCGCCGCTCGACTCCATGACGCAATCCTTAGCCGCGTCTTCAGATCACCTATGTCGTTCTTCGACACCACGCCCCTCGGACGTATCATCAACCGGATGTCACGTGACGTTGAGACAATCGACAACACGCTGCCAATCATCGTGAGGATGTTCATGTCGACAATGACAAACGTGGTGGGCACCATTGTCATCATTAGTATAAATACACCTCTCTTCATAGCCGCGATGATTCCACTGCTACTCCTCTACTACTTCATACAGGTGAGACGAAGTCACACATCCGTTTGAAGGGTTCCATAAAAGTGATGATAACCACTGGGGAGTACTGGACACATTTGAAAGTAATAATATTTGTGAAATAGATTTATTAATAAATCAGGGTACTGAGTTAACTTTAGTCTGCCATACAAACCCTGAAACAAATGCAATAGAAAGCCCATTCAAGTCTCGAATATGTTGCAAGTCTAGATTTGCACTGTCTCAGGAAAATGAAGACAGTCTCCGGGGCTCCTTTTCATTATAGTTTCTGATTATTTTCATTATATTTTCTGATTGTTTTTGGGAGCAGTTTTTTTTCTGTAGATATGCTAGACTAGATGTTTGTCTCAGTTAACCTGTTAAATAGGAACATTTAAGACGCAAATGTATATTTTCTTTCTGATGACATCATCAATTTTGCAGAATTTCTACATTCCGACTTCCTGCCAACTGAAGCGTATCGAGTCCGTGACACGCTCCCCAATCTACATCCACTTCAGTGAGACCATCACCGGTGCAGGCAGCATCCGCGCCTACGGTGCCATGGACCGATTCATAGAGGAGTCCAAGAAGAGAGTGGACAAAAATCAGGTCTTCTTCTTCGGAGGCCTCGTCTCGAACAGGTAGCATAGCAACATGGGTGCATGATGATCAAGTGATGCGCAAATGATGCTCAAATGAATCACTGTTTTGTCTGACCCAAACTTTCAAATGAGGATGTGATATCGCAGGCACTTGAAGATTGCTTTATATGTTGTCCTGCAACAAATGAACTTCAACACTTGAACTTGACACGGAGTCTGAGAGACCCATTATGTCGGAGAGCGTACGTAACATCTCAAAAACATCAACTTGAATTTGAGGTTCTATTTTTTTTCGAGGACACGTATCAATGGCGGGAAGGTGAAGGCATCGTGCACTTATTGTTTGTGAATACTAACCCTTAGATATGGTATTAGTCATTTTGTTTCCTTTGGATGATTGAAATATGTTTGTGATAATTTCTCAGAAAATAAGAAATTATACCAAAAGGAAAATATTTTTATAATATTTCTTGTAAGACCATATACTGAACAAACTATTTCAAGACGTTTCGACATCGAGATTCTAATGTCATCACTTGCTTCACAACGACATTAGAATCTATGTTGAAACGTCGCCTTTCACAGAATATATCACTTTGTATATCCATAAAATGATCATCATTCTTCATCACCTCAACTTCTAAAATGCCCATCGAAGAAGAAAATAATTCAAGATAGTGAATATTTTAATGGATTTTTACGTTCATTTATAAGAAGAAAATATTTTTTTTAAATATTCCTAACCACACACGTGTTCGTGGGTGTTACTTGGCAAACGTCTGAGACCTGTATCGCTTCGGACTGTGCTCCCTTATCAAGCAAGCACGACAGAAACCTCCATGTATGCTCTTGGGTTCGAATCTCAGTTCGCATTCTCTTCGTGTGTGTGTGTCCGGTTTTGTCAGCACCATACCCGCACTAGTGGCCGTCAAACAAGTGATGAAAATCTGAGGTCACTTGGAGCTTTCCTCTGATATAAGCTAGCACAACATGAATACTGTTTAAGTCCGCAATGAACCCTACTAACACGACGTTTTAATGATGTATGGGCGGTGGGGTAGCCCAGCGGTTACAGCGTTTGGTCGTCATGATTCGCAGCAAGGATACAGTGTGTGAAGCCAATTTTTTTATGTCTCGCTGTGATACTGCTGAATATTGCTAAAAGCGGCGTTAAACTAAAGTAATTCACTCTAATGATTCAGATGGCTCTCATATTACCTGGACATGATCGGAACTATCATCATCTTTGCCTCCGCCATCTTTGCTGTGTTGTCTTCAGATGCCAGTGGCAGTCAGCTAGGACTATCGGTGTCATACGCACTACAGGTTGGTATATGTGTCTACAATGTTTCTTCGGGGTAGCCTTGTGGTTAATGTGTGGTGTCCTGGGCCGTAATATTTCTGAAAGCGGTGTTAAATTAAACTCCATCACTCACTGCTCACTGTTCAATGTATATTTCCTTGTGCTGTAGTAGAATGATTGGTCGTTTCTAAGACAAATATATATAGATGGGTTTTTTTTAAATGTATGAGAGATATGTTTCCATCACACAATCAATGTTGCTGACCATTTACCTGCAGGCGTCCGATACTATGGGCTGGATGGTCAGGCAGATCAGCGACCTCCAAACCAATATTGTCTCCGTTGAGAGGGTGAAGCAGTACTCCGAGCTACAAACAGAGGTATAAACGCATAAATCATTATCTAAGGTAATTTACGCTCTATCAGGAGGGGAGGGGGAGGGGAGGGGAGGGAGGGGCAGCCCAGTGGTTAGATAGTTCGCTCGTCACGTCGAAGACCTGGGTTCGATTCCCCACATGGGTAAAATGTTTGAAGTGCATTTCTGGTGTCCCCTTTGTGATATTACTGAAATATATTTTAAAAAGGGGGCGTAAAACCCAACTCACTCACTCTACCGGGAAGTTCGAGGTATTCTGTCAGAGAGACAAGAATGTGTGCCTTGGAACGATGAGTAGATTTTCAGCCTCTATTAAATCTGCCTAGACCTAAAAAAAGTGACCTTTTAAAATGTGCAGGAATAGAATAGGCCCGTCTCATATCTGGACGACACTATTCTCCCTTGAGCCTAGCCATTACTGTCATGCTATAGCCAAAAAGACGTCAAGATTGTCCATCATGATAGGTCTCCTATTCATCTTAAATGTAGTTTCTAACAAAATATGTCTCTTCAACGACTGAACTTTGGCCTACTAACGCATGCGTAATGGTGGATGTTGGCAGGCGGACGCGGTCCTCCCAGACTCTCGACCCCCGACAGACTGGCCCCAGAATGGTACCGTGCACCTGAACAACTACAGGACGCGGTACAGGGACGGCCTTGACCTTGTCCTCAAGGGGATCACGTGTACTATCAACGGAGGGCAGAAGGTGAGAACGAGATATAAAGTATATTTTCCAACCAGTTGTGTTTGTGAATATTGATTGATTGATATTGAATATTGACTGACTAGAGAATGGCTGAAGGCTAAACCAAACAGTTTTATGGCATTCTGTTCCACCAAATGAGCTCATACCGTGGCTAAAATGTGTATGTGTGGCTATGCAGTATGAACCGATTTTCAAGCATGTTCTGCATATTCAGCCCTTTCATGCACATTCTCACTTTTCTGCCTATTCAGCCTGTTCATGCCTGCATATTCTGCTTCAGCTTATCCTTCACTATCCCTTACTTTCTGCCTAGTTCCGCTCACACCACCCTATCTCGACTAACACCTCGTCTCTGAAATGAACGTATTTGACAGAAAAAAGGTTCCTAAATTATAATCATAAAATATATTGAAACGGAGCACATAAACTAGCGTCCAAAAGAAACGCCACCAAACAGTTTTCTTCATTAAAACACAACAATAGCAAATTATGGTAACAGGAAGTGTTGTATTGTAAAACACGATCATTCAGCAGCAGTTCTTGAAACTTTTCAGTTAGAAAACCGAAACAGTTCGTGTTCTGAAGGCACATGGATGACACAGGGGTGCAGTGTCCAGTATTCGATCGCCACCGCTGATTCGTCTTTAAGGTCTTAAACTGTCCTGAACAACACAGATGATTCAGTATCGTGTGTGGCCACCCCTAGCAGTGATGCAGGCTCTAACACGGCGTCGAACTGATTATGTGAGCCTTCTGACGTCATCATAAGGGATTCGGTGCCATTCCTCTTGCAGGGCAACTGCCAAAGTGTCCATAGTCAATGGCGACTGTTGACGATTCCGAATACGTTGCCCCAGTTGGTCCCAGAGGTGTTCGATTCGAGACAGATCGGGTCATCGCGCCACTGTAGCAGGTTGACGTTGTTAGTGTTGAGGAAGTCACTAGTGATCCGAGCTGTGTGAGGTGTGGCGTTGTCCTGTTGAAGCAGAGTCCTTGGGTGACGTGGCATGTAAGGCAGCACCACAGGCCATAAAATCTCGTCGATGTAACGACGTGCGGTGAGATTACCGTTGATGATGACGAGATCTGTCTTTGGTCCCCACAAATTCAGCCCCTTACCATAACGGTTCCACCACCGTAATGCTCCACTTCTTGGATGCAAGTAGGTGCCGTCCGTTCGCCCCGACGTCGGTAGATTCGAACACGACCATCAGATTTGAAGAGCTGGAGCCTACTCTCGTCACTGAAGAGCACTCTTCGCCAGTTTCGCTGCTGCAACTGCATTACAGTCCTGACCCACCTCAGTCTGGCACGTCTTTGTCGGAGCGTTAACGTCATGCCCTTGAAAGGTCGATAGGTTTGAATACCATGCTGACGGAGTCGTCTTGCTACGGTCTGTCTGCTGACTGCATGTCCAAGGCTATTGGCGCTTGATGACGTGACAGTGAGGTAGCGGTTTCTCAGATGAGGCACCCGTAAATATCGATCTTCCTGTGGGGTCGTGACCTTGGGTCTGCCACTCCTGCGTCTGTCAGCAGTACTGCCAGTCTGTCTGTGACGTGTGACAAGTCTGGCGATGGCGGACTTGCAGCATCTCTTGATCCTGGCCACGTGCTCCTGTGTTGCGCCCATCTGAAGCATACCAATTGCTCTTTCCCTCTTTTCTTTGGTCAATCGAGGCATGTTGGCTGCTTTCAATCGTGTCACATGATGAGAGAGAACAAATCTAGTCAGGTTTTATACCCTCATGTCATACGGGTAAATTTGTGTACAATTTCCGTTTTTTTCTGTGCCAATTCATTTAACTCACCAATCATTAAAATCTCGTCCACTTGTTCACTGGGAATACACAGGTTGTGTTCGATGGATGTGTTTTCAGCCGTTTTTCAGCAGATTGGCAATTATTTTGACACTTTATGATAATTTTTATTTTGGTGGCGTTTCTTTTGGACGCGGGCGGTGGGGTAGCCTAGTGGTTAAAGCGTTGGCTCGTCACGCCGAAGACCCGGGTTCGATTCCCCTCATGGGCACAATGTGTTAAGCCCATTTCTGGTGTCCCCCGCCGTGATATTGCTGGAATATTGCTAAAAGCGGCGTAAAACTAAAATCAGTCAGTCTTTTGGACGCTAGTTTAGTCTTTCTTCATTTCTTTAAACTGTGGTAACATAGAAATGAAATATACAACTTTATGGATTACAACTTCTTGTTTGTTTGCATTGAGTGACGTTTCAATGTAGACGATTACACTGTTATCAAGCTAAAAGTGAGAAAGTGTGGTAATCTAGATTTGCCACATATTCTGGACTTGCATGTTCTTACTTAGACATGTTTTTTGAGGGTCGATATGAGAGACTACACCCTGTCCTGCACATTCTGCCTGTCAAGGCTGCTCTGCACATTCCACACATTCCGTTCACAATTCCAAGTAGTCACAGTGTATGGCATGCAAAGTCTGTATGTCTTTTCAGGTGGGAATTGTGGGTAGAACTGGTGCCGGCAAGTCGTCCTTCACCTTGGCTCTGTTTAGGATCCTTGAAGCCGCTGGAGGCTCCATTGTGATAGACGGAATCAACATTGCTGAGATCGGGTTGTATGACGTCAGATCCCGACTGACGATTCTTCCCCAGGTGAGAGGGTATGATGTAGTTGTGGTATTATGGTGGATCAAGTTTAGCTTAATGAACCCGTGAAGATACGACGTCATACATCTTGAAAACTGCTGAGTGTGGCGTCAAAAACCAAATTGAACTTATCTGAATGATGCAAGGTCATTATGCAAATGATGACAATCAGATCAGATCGGGACTGACAGTTCAGCTACAGCTAATGAGATCCGAGTTAGAATTGATCTTCAGCAACCCATACTTGTAGTAAGAGGCGACTAACGGAATCGGGTGGTTAGGCTCGCTGACTTGGTTGACACATGTCATTGAAATACATGATGCCATTTTGTCATGTCATTGTATCCCAAATTGCGTAGATCGATGCTCATGCTGTTGATTACTGGATTGTGTGGTCCAGACTTGATTATTTACAGAGCGCCCCCATATAGCTGAAATATTAAACAACAAACAAACAAAAACTGGCACACTCCAAATATATGAAGGATTCTCTGCAGATATGTCCCACTATACGTTTAATTGGTCATAAGTTTCTTTCCCTTCTCTGCTTCCCAGGATCCTGTGCTGTTTTCCGGCACCATGAGGATGAACCTGGACCCCTTCAACGAGTTCAGTGACGCCGACATATGGCGGGCACTGGACAGGGCACATCTCAAGAGGTTCGTGGTGGATGTGCCCGGCCAGCTGATGTACGAGTGTGGAGAAGGAGGGGAGAATCTCAGGTGTGTAGACAGCCCCTTAAGTAGTAACTCAATACACGATATACAAGTTTTAGACAGACCCCTTGATAGTAACACAATACGTGATGTACGGGTTTGTAGAGAATATGCCACGACATTTAATCTGTAAACGACTACAGATTAGTGACTCACGAGTGTACAGAATGCGTCTCTATACGTGACGTGCGAGCACATAGACGGTGCCCCTTTAATGTAAGGATGTATCGTCGAGAAATGCACTTACGCAAACCATGCTTTTCTCCAGATACGACTGGCAAGATCGGTTTAGTGGCCTGATACATGCATGTCATTGTAGACAATGTCAATCACTGGATTGTCTTGCCCAGACTCGATTATTTACAGACAGTCGTCATATGGCTGAAATATCACCATCAGCTTCCCAAACCATCATACTTTATTATGTTCATATAGTCTATCGATAACTGCATGTACAGGATATGTGATTTACAACTAATTCTGATTTAATTGTCAATGTGCACGAATTTATCAGCTGACCAATTAAAATTCAAAAATATGTTTGGTCCTGCACTCATGAATTATTGCTGACATTTAATACCATTTTGTGTTGGCAGCGTTGGACAAAGACAGCTGATGTGTCTTGCTCGTGCTCTATTGCGCCACACAAAAGTCCTGGTGCTTGATGAAGCCACGGCAGCTGTTGACATGGAAACCGATTCCTTGATTCAGAAGACAATTAGGGAAGCCTTTACCGATTGTACCATCATCACAATAGCTCACAGGTTAAACACGGTCATGGATTATGACAGGTTGGTACAGATGATGTACTATTACACAAACACATTAGTTATCTCTCACCGCCACCCTGTGGTTAAAGTGTTTGCCTGGAGACCGAAAGACCGGTTTTGAACCCCGGCCATGTACTACATTAAGACATAAAAAGCTGGCACGTGTTACACTGAGTAGTGAAACAACTCGTCGCCTGAAAACCAGAGTGTTCTAAGTCACAAAAACCTATTTTCGAGAAATTCGATCTTGAAGTTTAGGACAACAATATCTTCTTCACTTTTCAATCGAATTCTTTCAAATTTTGCACATGCATGTGACATGTTAAACAGGATCAGAAAATATCAAATTATATGCTCAATCTATTCAAATAAATAAGAAATTCACGAAAGATGATTGGAGATAGAACACTTGACCAAAGAAAATCGTGATTTTTCTCAAAACCAAAGTGTTCTAAGTGTCAAAAAACACAGCTAAAACTCAGCTTTATTATATTATATCGATATTTGATTGTTATTTCCTTTTTACCAGGTTGTATTTTTGTCGTTCAAACCTGTTTTTCTTTCATAAGAACTATATTTAATTAGATAAAGCAGAAATAAGAACAGAGTTAACATGTTCCATCTCCAAGATGACAATCACTTCAATATTGGTAAATCTCGATGTCACGTGATCAACATGTGCTTGCCCATTGGTCAATTGACAACTTAGAACACTCGAAAATTAACAACATGTGATTTTCATGGAGATAGAACAAATTTTCTGTTTGAAAAACCACTTTTACAGCTAGATAGCACTGTAAAACGTTGCTAGAGTAATAGATTATGCTCTAAAACCTACACTGAGCATACTTACTCTAATTTTGTCAAAAGTGGACTTAGAACACTCTGGTTTTCAGGCGACGAACTGGTAGGCTAGGAGCCTGATTTGAGTGTCCGTTTTTATCTGTAGCGAGGAGGGGGCGGTGGGTTAGCCTTAAAGCGTTCGCTGGTCACGTCGATGACCTGGGTTCGATTCCCGCATGGGTACAATGTGTGAACCCACTTTTTGGTGCCCCCCCCCCCCCCCCGTGATATTGCTGGAGTATTGCTAAAATCAGCGTAAAACTCACGTCGCTCATTTAATTAGCCCACTGAAGTGGTGCGTGTCTTCGTGGTGAAAAAACATCACTGAAGACCCGATTTAGATTTCCCAAAGGTTCAATTTGTGAAGCTGCGATTGCTGGTGATATTGCTGGCATTTCGCTTAAAACCGTTTCACTCTCTGACTCTGGTGTTGACGTTTTGAATTTAGCTTTTGTTTTCACAGAATCATCGTAATGGACGCAGGGATGATAAAGGAGTATGACACGCCCGAAACGCTTCTCAGCAACTCAAACAGTATATTTTACGGACTGGCCAGAAATGCCGGCCTGATATGACATAGTTTCGGGTTCTGTTCAAGTATGAGCCAGTCACATGAGAATACAAGCAAGTGCTTGTGCGAAGATTAAAGAAAAGGTTATTCTATACTGCAATATACAGTCAGCTCTCGTTAACCCGACACTCATTAATCCGACAATCGCGTTGATCCGACAAACAAATTAGGGAACCATTTAAAACAGTGATAATTACTCTCGTTAATCTGACATTCTCTCATTCGGACTCCGACACACCAATCTAGCAACTGATTATTGCAAATACATTGTAAAAACATTCGTTAATCCGACAATCAACACAGCCAGTCGGATAATCTGACCGTATACAAACAATCACACGTGAGTAGTAATTAGCGTGTGCCTTACTGGCTGCTTGACACTGACGTCGGTGAACATCACACTTGTTAATTAGGAACACAGGATAATTAATTGAGACGATGTAATCAAGAAATAACAGTAGAGCGAGCTGTATAAAATGTTTACAACCGACATGAGTTTTCATCACAAGATGTTTGTCAGGAGTACACAACCTGCTAAGCGACCCCTTGTAGAAGTTATGCCATTGATCAGGAAAGAAATCTCCTTTTGAAGAAAGACAAACCCCAGACAACACAACAAGAAGTCATCACTTTTGCTGAGCAGAAGTTTGATGTGAAGATTGAACGATCAACCGTATCTGACATCCTGAAGCAGTCTGCTTAGTGGTTGAGCATCCTACGACTGATTCCAATGCTTCAAGCTATCTGAGGCCAAAACATCGTTGAACACTTTGCAAACATTTCTGACACACTACTTAGACGTGTTTGATGTTGATGACCATCAAAGACTTTTTCAAGTTATAAATTATATATGTTATGATAAACGCCTGATTGTACATTAGACGTCCTCATGTTATTATGGAATTAGTTGTATGGAAACTGTAACATATTCAACATCCGGGTCATAATGGCAGCTGATATGCGGTAAAAATATACTTGAGTTTTGTGCCAATGTGGTCATGAAATAGATATGATTATATATGTATGTTATGCCATCTACGAATGTTAATAAATGATAACAAGTATGTATTGTAAGTATTTTTTATTTCTGTGAATATTTTTCAACCATTTCTGATATGCATGCAACAGTATGACGATCATGACATTTAGTAAACATTGATATTTTCAATACATTAATCCGACATTTTCATTAATCCGACATTTTCGTTAATCCGACATATTTCTCTGCAAACACAAGTGTCGGATTAACGAGAATTGACTGTATTGTAAATAGTGCTCGTTTATTTCATACATGACCAGCCACGTGACTGCTCAATTAATATGTTTCTTGGTACACGTGTCCTTATTGTTTACTGCTATTGTTAATACTAATCAGCAGACAGTGAGTGAGTGAGTGAGTTTAGTTTTACGCCGCACTCAGCAATATTCCAGCTATATGGCGGCGGTCTGTAAATAATCGAGTCTGGACCAGACAATCCAGTGATCAACAGCATGAGCATCGATCTGCGCAATGGGGAACCGATGACATGTGTCAACTAAGTCAGCGAGCCTGACCACCCGATCCCGTTAGTTGCCTTTTACGACAAGCATAGTCGCCTTTTATAGCAAGCATGGGCTGCTGAAGGGCTATTCTAATAGACCCGGACCTTCACGGGTCTAATCAGCAGACAGAGTACTAATTGTTTTAACGTGGTATTATATATAGTATTATAGCTCGTTCATAAAGCTTTCTTAGCTGTGTGAACCGTTATTGTGTACCCAGGATATGTCAACAGTTTTGTTGTATTGTTTTGTGATAAAATACAATAATACAAAAGTACAGCTAAGCTAAGGGCGTGTATGTTGTAAGGCAGGGGGGGGGAGGTCGCTGGAAATCGGCCATTTTGTTTTTATGATGTCATCACACAAGTGTGTGACCTTTGTGTGACCGTCCTTTTATATCCTTCCGGCCCAGGTGTGTGTGACCTTTAGGTTGACCTTAGTGGTCTTCATAACCCAATAACTCAGATGATGGCAAGTACGCTGATAATACCTCAAGGGACTCCTTAGATCATCAAAATATAGCCTGAGATTATTGTTGTAAATATTGTCTTTGATTTGTTTTGTATTGTATACCGGTTATATCTGTATTAATGGCATGATTCATGTGAATCGTGTTCAGTTGTGTTTGTGTTGGCACCTTGGGAAGAGTACTTGAATAGGATCTATTATGATCCCAAACATCCCGGTAGTTATACTGGACCCAAGAAACTGTATGAAACTGTGAAAGTTGATGGTCAGTTTAAAATTGGCTTACATAGAATTAAGAAATAGTAGAAAGGTCTAATCAAGTTAGGAACATGTTTCCAAGAAATGAGTACGTGGTCGAAGGTCTTGATAGTCACTGACAGTCACATCTCATGGACATGGTTTCACTGGAAAAGTACAACAATGGTGTTAAGTATTCATTAGTCATCATAGATCTATTTTCACATTATTTGTGGGTACTTCCGCTGATGTCGGCAAAAGGTCAGGAAGTGGTGAAAGCATTGATCGACTTATGGAATACACAAAATCATCGGCCTGGTATTTTTCAATAAATTGATGGGTCAAACCTTTTAGAAATAGCACAAGATAACCCAACTCTTTACACTGAGTGAAACCAAGGCCCCTATGCTGAGAGAGTCATTAAAACCATTAAAATGAAATTATACCAATATATGTCGAAATGTTTACATAGAGATATATGGATATCTTACAAGGGGTAGTCAAGAGTTACAATCACAAGAAACATTGAATGTTAGGACAGTGTCCTGCCAGTGTAACGTTTAACTCATAAAAATGAAGATGAAGTGAGACTCTCACAGTATTTGATTAAACCCCCAAAAGTTAAACACAATAAAAATAAGTTCGCCTTCAGAGTGGGCAATAAAGTAAGAATCAGTCACCTAAAGAGAACCTTTGACAGAGAGTATCAAGATAAATGGTCTGGTGAAATCTTTACAGTAATAAGAAGATATTGGTCTCAAGGCAATGACTTGTACAAGCTTAAAGATTGGGGGGAGGGGTTTTGATCCTATCGGAGGTACCAATAATTCATCAGAGCTACGAGCAGTGGTAGAAAATATCCAGCCAGAAAGTGATGTGAAAGAGTATAAAAGCACAACGTAACCTCTTTTCAGAGTCATTTATGATGGAAGACATTGAAGCAGCAGCATCTCTCATGCAGAGTTCATCGTCTGACAATTAGACATTTTTGGGGGGAAAAATCGGAACGTCGTGACATATATACCTATTCCTCATTGTGCGATTCGTATGTTGGAGAACTAAACAACCTTTACGGGAAACTGAAAAGAATATTCTTTTTCATTTTCTCAGTGTCAGTTTGTCCCTATGAATCTCAGAGATTTTCAGACTGTGGATATCTTTATAAAAGACCATGAGGGCAATCCAGCTTCATTTATCCGTGGACCAGTGACAGTGACACTTCACCTCAAGCCACTCCCGTTTTGGTTTTCACCATGAATAATCCACAATACAAACTCTTCGTACTTGATGCTGATAAATGGACACGCTTTAACATGCTCCATCCTAAAGGGAAAGGAGATCCTTATCTTTCCATTATATGTGGAGGAGAAAAATATGCCATGATGTCTGTCAATCGATATTTGGAATTGTGTGACCAAGAGTGGAAGAAACAAAAAGAACCAGGAACCTCAGAGTAGCCCAAGATTAATTTTGTTACCCCTACTCAACAAGTGGTCCTACAGGCCAAGGCGAAGTTGAAGAGGGTAAGGGAAGTGTCAACTGACCAAGGGAAAACAAAAAGGCTAAATTTGTCCTTGAATACTTCATTTGTAGTAGGACTGCCGATGTGTGAACATCATCATGCATCTCTGTCCTGTATGCTGTAAACAATATGTATTGGCTCATGACTTGTCCCGTCATAAACAAACGAAACATTCAGGAGGAGATCTCAAGCAGCAGCAGCAGCAGCAGCAGCAGCCACCACCACAAGTACCACCACAAGTACCATCACAAGTACCATTGCCACAAGTACCATCACCTATGATGCAACCAGTGCAACCACATTCATCAAAAATTACTACCCAGTCATTGGAAGAGTTTAAGCTACTACATCCATTCACCATGATCGTCTCAGGGCCAACCTCCTGTGGGAAAACCTACTTAGTGAAGCAGATTCTAGAAAGGATGAACATTAAACTTTATCCTGAATGCATTATATGGCTCTACAAACGGTGGCAGAAATTGTATAGTGCCATTCAAACCTGTGTTTATGCCTTTGTTGAATTTCATCAAGGCATTCCTTCTGAACCCCAGTGTTGTGAACATCATTGTGATCAACGACTTAATGTCTACTGCCAGCAAAGATCCATGCATTACAGATATTTTACAGAAGATAATCTCTCAGTGATCGCCTTGAACCAGAATTTGTATTACAGTAAGTAAGTAAGTAAGTAAGTAAGTAAGTAAGTAAGTAAGTAAGTAAGTAAGTATCTGCTTTTGTTCAACAACCCTATTGATAAAGAACCCATCATGACTTTGGCAAAACAAATGTATCCAGAAAATTATAAACATTTCATGGACCAGTTTGAAAGGGCTACCCAGAAACCTTATGGATGCTTGCTGGTTGATCTAAAACACCTCCCCATTTTTGACTTTGTCCCAATGCATTCCAAGCCAGGACAATACAGTCAGAGTTAGACTTTCAGCGTGAGCAGATGTATGAAGAAAAAATGCCATCTTGTGATATCTTTGGAATCATGTTTCAATTCGTACCCAATTTGGAAAAACACAGAAAAAACTTGTGTGCCGAAAAGTCTTCAGTAGGTCCACCTGGGATACCACAGGTGGGCTTCAAGAGGAAGCAATAACCACAACTTACAAAGACATATACCCAATAAACAATATCCTGAAATGGAAAATGATGATGATGATGATGATGATGAAGAATCATTAAGTGATGTCACACACAACAAAAGGAAAAATAAGATGGCTGATGTTGAAGAGTAAGGTATAAGACAAATGCATTCACGTACGCTTGAGCTGAATAAAGACGTTTTGGACGAGAAATGACAGCTGTACATGAGCAGAGATTTAAACGAAGACATGATAGGAGCCAAAATGAAGAAATTAATCTGGATTACTTTTACAGAGACGTATGCACGATTTTA